TGGGTGAACTAACCCTTTAAGTTAAGTTTTAGGGATAGGCATAGGACTAAAATTAGTTGTTTCGACTAAAAGGTTGTTCCAGGATCAACAAAATATGTTGATCCAGGTCATCCAGGAACATGTCTTACCTGGCAAAATCACGGTTACCTGAGTAATACCATGTACAGCAGTTCACATTGTGGTGCCTATAGTATGTGGGCAGAAGATATGGTTACCACAGTACATTTCTGTTATAGGGTACACAGAATTATCATGTGCATATTTCTTTTTATTTCTTTTTTATTAATTCAATCTTTGTTTTAACCCTAGAATGCATAAACTGTGATTTAAAAAAATAATGTATTATTAGAAACATTTAGTCATTTGATATTCCATGAATTCTTTATAAAGCTTGTTTCTATTCCTCATCAATTTTCATATTTCTTAGCCATAGGGTGGGGCAAAAGTATCTCTACCCTAAAAACGCATAAAGGGGGTCAAATTGATCCATGTTCATTTCCTTTGGAATTTTTACTCATCACAGTATTTTTGGGCACAAATTTATCAATGATAATATTTATTTTCTTGAAACTTGATGAATTGCTTAAAAATCTTCTCTTTTTTTTGCTCTGAGCTAAGAATTTTCCTCAGACATCAACCCCGATGAATACACATTTACCTACTAGGCGAAAAAGCAGTATGTGAAATTATTAGTATGTCTGAATTCACAGTATTCATAAAACAGCAGGCAAAAAATTACCTGGATGACCTAAAAGTTTACTATTCATCGGAGAGTAGACTTGAATGGCAGGGAAACAACACAGAGTAACCCACTCTATAGCTCACATGACAATGCCAACATGATGGCAGATGTATTACATTCAGATTGCATTGACATTATTCACATGCATGCTTGGTAATACTTTATTCATGCTGACCTTTTAACAGTCATGAAGTTCTCAATTAATCTATTCAGACGGTATGCGATTTTAGATGCAGTAGACGAGGAGGGAAATGCTTTTGGAATATATAACGACAGTGGCCAAATAAACACGTCTATAATGAATTAATTTAATTTAACTAATAGTATCAAATTTAATTTCTATAATAGAAAATATGAATGCATTTGTGCAAGTTCTTTGGTTTATGCATTCTACTGTATGCAGAAGCTGTTGATGTGAACATTTATTGTCCATCGAGACAATAGTGTGATTAATACATAATTTCACGCATAATATGCTCTCAAAGTACAAGTTTAAGTCTGTCTTATAATTTGTGTAATTAAATGTTTGTGATGCCCTCTAGTGGCGACCTTAGCTTCTTTCATTATTTCATTTTTATTATCATTTTTTTTTTTTGGTACACGCCGCCATCTACTGAGTGCTTATGGATGAATGTTGAAAGCAAACGTCTAACTCGGTTTTGACTGTAAAAATATTATCTTTTTTAAATTGCATTATTCAAGCCTTTGAAATACAATAACACTGACTGCACAGCACATGAATGGTGTACAATGGTGCCAGTGCTATAGATGGAGAGGAGAGCGAGAGATAGAGCCAGATCAGTGGGCGGGGATTTATTATGGGCCAATATAGGGGGTATTTGGCCTGGACATTGGGGGTTCACACCTTATCTTTTACAAGAAGTGGTATGGGAATATAAATGACAAGAAATTCTTTGATTTTACCCTGCCTGTCTGATTTGAGCAAAAGTGGCCTATTGATTTACATTGGTCAAGTATGAGGTGTGAATAATTGTCCACTTTTAACTCTTATCTGTGTATGTTCAATTCAATAGGTCTCATTTTAAAGTCCATGAACTATAATTTGTGTATTTACACACACATTTGTGATGTCATTATCCCCCTCTAGTGTTAAATTAAGCTTCTTTCTGTCTTTCATTCTTTCATTCTCTCTCGCTATTTTTGGTATATGTCGCCATCTACTGAATGCTCAAGGAATGTTGCAACCACATTTTTAAACTCATTTTTAATGAGTTATTAGGTAAAAACTTGTTTTAATTGCATGCATTTTCACACTGTCTTCATGTTGCATATTATTCAAGCCTTTGAAATGCAACAACTCCATTGACTTGACAGTGCCTGGACCTGTGGCTGTTTGCATACTAGCACATATAGGTGTGATAATGACTATAATCAGCTTGTTTCACAGAACTTGTTTCATCTAGACAAGAAAAACAAAACAGCCAGGATAAACTTTGATTTCACTCCACCTTTCTGGTTGGACAGACTGATCTCATGAAGTAGCGTGAGATAACACGCCACTTGACCCGAAAGTGGCGTGTATGTTTACGCAAAAGTCATGATGTCATGTTGCGTTGGAGAACAAGTGGCCTGGACATTGTTTCTTGTTGGTCAGGAACAAAAATGAGGTCGAAATAACTCTACTCTTTTAAAGGTATAGCGGAGGATCTTTCCGAATTTTAGAGAAGACCCGCCCTCTCCAATTTTTAAAAAAAATGCACATGCACAAACACAACACTCTTGCTCCCGAGAGGGAACGTCTATACGCCTTGCACAATTATGTTGCAAATTCTGAACTAACTAAAAAACATTCTGACATGTCAACATGTCAAATGTCAAATGCCCTTCCGTGTTTTATTTACTTATTATACTGATCGATTGAGTGACCGAGGACTCAAGACATGATATGTGCAACCCTGTATCACACGAAATACGTTCTGAGGAAACTATTTTGCAAATCGCAATTACGTATAGCAACATAAGCAGTGCTATTACGTTGGTCCTTAACCTAATATCTCTCATTGTTAATACGTTGTTTTTATACATAGTTGCATATGGAGAAGTAGCTTGTTGCATTTGTGTAATAGCCTAATAAACACACAAGATTTTAGAATATTTCAGCGTGATACCATTTACCATTTTGGACAAAAGGCTACTTTAGACAAATTGAGATGTTTACCGTGTCTATGCGGTCCATGACTCGTGCCAGGGCTAGCATTGTAGCTTGCATTAACTTTTACTAGTGATTTTAAATGAGTTTCTCCAAATAGCGTGACAAACTTTACCTGTCTAGTAGAATCTTCGCGACTGCGGCATCAGTGAGAAGCCCAACCTGTGCTTTTAGCGCACGCCAGCGTGTGATATTCACCCAAAATCTCTCTGGTCTTGTTTCTATATTCTGCGGCCTTTCTCTTCTTATCATACACTTAGTAAACATTTTTTCTCTTTCGACCCTCAGCCATTTTCAAAGGAATGGCTGAAACCGTAACTCCGACATAATACACCTGAAAGTGAAAACTCCATAGGGATGAGCACGTAGCCTACGACGGCCTTACGTAAACATATCACCAGAATGATTGACACTTAGGTGGACCAATAGTATAGACTACCCACCCGGAAAAAGAAAATCCTCCGCTATACCTTTAACTCTCATCAGTGTATGTTCAATTCTTCAGGTATTCAAATTTCTCAGTATCATCTTTCAGGTGTAAATTATGGTTCAGACCAACAGTACCAGTTCCATTAATAAGCCCCTGCTGGTAGATGTCGTAACTACACCATTATTCAAGTAAAAAGCGTGCTTTGTCATTCACAGGCATTAAAAGTTGCCATGTATTCTGATGAAATGAAACAATTAAAGCAACATGAACGTCATTTTATTGTGCATTTTTGTGGCTCCATCAACCAGTCAGTGTGATCATTTTCCTGTAAATTTTCCTCCATAGTGATTAGATAAAGGCCATTTAAAGTTCAAGCAAGATTTTAAAAAGTTTCATGCCTGCCTTTTTCCATTCATGTTCAATAAAATGTCTTTCATTATAGAATCCAATAATTTTTTTTCATGGCTTCATGAACCCTCAAGTGTATTGCTCTGTATATATTGTATTGCATATACTGTCTGCTCATATGCTTGGTGTTGCTATACAGAAATTTCCTGTCAGGTATCAGAAAAATCTATCAATCTAAATCTAGCCCCCCCGGAAATCTCATGACATGCTTGCGTTCAGCGATAGCGTGCCACTCTTTGTTTGAACATTTTGCAAAATGCTGTTTACTCTGTTGTCTATAGAGATGAATGTGTCTTGGAGACAAATAAAGGTTTTGCGGGTCACTTGCACTCCCTGCCAAGCCTCGCCGTATCTTTACAAATGCTAAAGGTCGTGATGTTGCAGTTGCAGTACACCACAATTACTTTCCCTCGTCAGTCACATCGGTAGATGCACATTTTAAAACATTCCCCTTTATTATTCTCACCATGTAGCTTTGCTTACTGCAAGTGAGCTGAAATGTTGTTTTAGAGAATATTTAATCTGAAATAAATGTCTCTTGGCCTAGTGAAGGCCTTCAAACACGCCAACCTCCATTATTTGTTCACTGGAATAGATTATTTTGTTCAATATTAAAAAAAAAAAATGATATAAAAACCTAAACCAATTTTAAAAAAGTGTCATTTTTATTATGAATAATCATTGTCACGTTAATAATTTCCAGATAAAGCACCTACGGTGTAAGTGGTTGGGTTATTAGAAATTGTGCCCTCTGTACTTGGAAAAAGGCTGAATGTTTAATGCGTATTTCCCCCCCGAGTTCGGTGAATGACCACAGACACTGTGTCACAGCAGCCCCTTAAAACACTAACCACACCTGACTACAGGAAACCAACTCTCACAACACACTCAATATTACCAACTTAGAAAGAACTCGTGAAGAGCAAATTCACAATGTTTACATATTCACTTTTAGTTATTTATGTTTTGCTCAAAATTAGTCAAATATTAACATATAATATGTATGCATTGTAAGCTAATATTATACATTAGCACCTTGTTTATTATATATTACCCATGCCTGTCCATTAAAACTCACACTTTACATGACTCTGTATGTAATAGTTGGCAAATATATCATTTTCAAAGCTCATTTGTTATTGATTTTATCAGTCACTATGTGTACATCTTGGTACTTTCCATTGTATGTCACACCTACATTGCAGTCTCATGGTCACATAGACCACTGAATAAAGTGATGCATCTCATTTTAGAGAGCTGTGAATGTTCCTGCATGTACATGGTGGTCGACCGAAGGTGATGTGGGGGCTTCTTGTTTCCATGCAGACAGGTGACATCTCTGAGGGAGGAAGTTCTGATGTTCATTTTCCCCCTTGTGAGTGTTTATAAAAGTGCACTTTGTGGGGAGCTGAGACAATACGCATCAGACTCACACACAAGAAGATGAAGTGTGTGTCGATAACTCTGCTGTTCCTGGCTACTGTGCTGCTTTCTCAAGTCACCTGCCAACGTAAGAAGCTTTACCTATTTGTAAAAAACGATATGCCATTTTACCACTTTGAATTTTGAATTACATTGCGTTGATTAAATGAATGTCTGATTAAAATGTTTGTTTCCCTTGTGTTTTTGTAGAATCTGGCCGTTCCTGCCTTTGTCTCAAAACGTCAAAATCTGTTCCCCGCAGGGAAAATATAATAAGTTACACGATACAAAGAGCAGGTGTCTGCCATATTGATGCCATTGTGTGAGTTCTCTTTTTATCTTTTGAAAGTGTATACACTGTGATATACTTTAGACATCAATTCAAAACTATATTTCATGATAAATCTGAGCTTATATGTCAGAATAGTCCTTTTGGCCAGGCCTTATTCTTGTATAAGGTATTGACGGTTTTTAACCATAACATTTCGATGGCAAAACAAGCACTTTGATTGTACTTATATAAAGTTTAAATTGAATCACCATATGTACATTTGTTGTATTATCGTGCTAAATTATGACTTTTATGTATTTACAGATTTAAAACAGTAAGAGGTCGTATTTGCTCTGAACCAAAAATGCCTTTGGTGAAGAAAGCCATGCAATTTGTGGATGAGAAGAAGGCAATTAAAACGACATCACATCCCATATTCTCCACATCAATATTTGAAACAGAATCAACGCTGAATACAACATCACACTGGAATACAACAGGATAAACTAAAAACGACTTCACCATGGACTATGCGAATAAGTGAACATGTCCGAAACATGTCTGCTGGATTTTATTTTATTTGAATTGATTAAAATGTTTAAAATAAAATATACTGCATTGCTATGCATGTTTTTATTCAGCTCAATTGAATGTTTTCCCCCGCAATATGGTTAATAATAAGCAATAAAAAATGCTGTATACGATTAGATGTAGAGCTAAGACTAAACCTGAAGTTCAGAAGTTCGTGTTTCATGTGTTTATTCAATAACCTGTAACTAATTTATAGAAAATGAATAAATAAAATGTGTAAAATGAAAATTCTGTTGTATTTTTGACCTTCTCTCTGTGTCTCTGTACATCTTTCTTTGTGAGGACTGGTTTAACACTTTACAATATGGTATTAACTAACATGAACTAACAATATTAATTGTTAATCTTTGTTAATGTTAGTTAATACAAATCCAGCTGTTCATTGTTTAATTGTCTAATATTAACAAATACAACCTTTGATTCTAATAATGTATTCATAAATGTTGAAATGATTATTAACTGAGATGAATAAATGCTGTAGATATATTGTTCATTCTTAGTTCATGTTAAAAAAAGGTAGTTAACTAATGTTATCTGATGAACCTTATTATAAAGTGTTACCGTTTAAAGGTACTGATTTTTCGCCACCAGGGGTCGCTAACCTCTTACAATAACAAAGGTGGATATTGATGATGTATATTCCACCTTAAGCTGAATTATGGATCTTGTCGTCAAGCTGATGGATCTTTTATGGATGAGTGAATACGGTGATGTTTTTAACATGACGGTGTGTGGTGTGTAGCAGGGCGTGATTGCTAGATGTATACCAGCGTCACACGCAATGCGAGTCCCACGGATATAAAAGAATAAGGACTTTTCTTTCTACCGAACTACACGCAAGTGCTGAATTAATACTCACACGGGTCAGTTTATTAGACAAATGAAACTTAAGGTAAAAGCGTTGCTTCACTTGCTCTTAACAGTTACACTTTCACACTGAACTGCATTCATGTGTGTTGAATGTTGTTAGGTTGTGTGTTGGCTGTATGAGACTAAGTAAGCTAGATCAACATTAGAATAACATATCATATTCTAACATTTCATCAAGTTGAACTAAATAACGTTGATTAGTTTTATGTATTTGCTCACCTGTCTAATAAAGTAACATGCAAAACTCGCGTCTCTGTCAAGTCGAAGTTAGTCGCGGACGTGGAGCTCTTGACATCTCGAAAAATGTTGATCTTCGTTCTAGTCCTCTTTTTGTCACAAAGTCTGCTTGCCATTGTCCATAATGTTTGAACAAAACAACGACAGAGTGAGCGTCCTGCTAGGCATAACAGGCAAACCTGTTTGTCAACGTCTGTCGCCATGGTTACTATTGCAGTTCGAGGTCAAACCCGGTGGAAACCGAGGGTAACGCGGGTATGACGTCATTAACTCCTCACCCCTGCTCACATGCCCCGTTTCCTTGGTTAAAATTGCAATTGTCTCACGATTTACAAATAGTTTGAAACATTTTTGATATTGAAATGTAAGTAATGAACTAAACAAATTATATAACATTGCCCTAGTGGTTTTGGATATTTTACTGCAAAAATCCTACATATTGTACCTTTAAGTTTCAGACCATCATCACAAGGACAAAGAGAGCGAGGACATTTTGGCCTGTCCTCACTTTCTGAGCCTGTTTGAGGGTCAAGACTTGGTTTTAGCGATAAGGATATAATTAGGTGTAGGTTGTGACTGGTAGGTTGAATTTTGTCAATGAATGTCCTCACAAAGATAGATATACAAGAATCTTTGTGTGTGTGTGTCTTAGTGGGTAAACTATAGTGAAGTGTTAACAACTGTTAACCCCTGTGTGGCTTTAGACACTCAAATCTACACTGTTCTGTGGGATTTCCCCCTTTCACAATACAAATACTTTACACAAACTCACTCTGGTTTCAGTCTCCAGTTTTAGGACAGTATCTTACATTTAAAAACATTTCTCCCAGTATTGGTTTAACATATAAAAATGTTTGGATGGTGTGTGCAGTTGTGCATATCAGAGCCCCCGACTCATTGCATGATGCATGCACACAAATTCCATGCACACAACTCGGTTTGAGTGGAGGTGGAGTAAATTACAGGGTGGGTTTTTTTGTGAGAAAATGTGGGTGCTTAAAGAATAGGTTGGTGGGCAATGTGTTTTCCATACAAACTCATGCCTCTCTGGTGTACTTATGTAAATTTACATTTCACATTGTTTGAGTCTTGGCTGACCAATGCATTTAAATGATGGCTAGAGAGATGTTCTGCTATGTCTGTCAGATAAAGTGAGGGCCTTGTCATCATCTCTAATTTAAAATGAATAAGAGCAAAAGTCAGTGAGGTAAATGAAATCTAGGTCAGGGTTTTGTGGTCTGGGATTATGGTTGCATATCATAGAATGCAACAGCACGATGATACCATTCAGACAGGCCATATCACTATAATCTTTTATAAACTGCTTTTGCTTTTTCTTACATCTTTTTAAAATCATTTTTTTAAAACAAATATTTTGATCGCTAAATTGAGTTCACCCAAATATGAAGAATCAATTTTAATACCCAATGAATAAATTACCTCATGTGCATGAGATATTAATTTGGGTTGAAATTATTTCATAATTTTATTTTACACACATATTATCTTGAAGCTTCTAAGAAAATGAGTCCATTACAATGTTGTCACCATCACAGATCAGCCAGGCTCCACCGTCAGCCAATCACAACGCTCTCAATCACCATACTGATCACCCACACCTGCAACACATTCCCTCACTAATTAACACTAATATGTGCTGTGTCCCAATGGGCTCTATGCACGGCGTTATTTCCGGTGAAGCATTAGGGATGCTCGATAACTTCCGCCGATCATAGAGTCCAATGCAATACCGAGAATTTATATTGAATTTTATACTCCATGGTTATACTAATGAAACGTTAGTCACAAAAACAGATAAAACAGACACCCCTCGTTGTGTTTATGCTTCTTTTTAAAATTATATTAAATAAACATAACTATATATAAAATTACATCTAAACGTATGTACGTTTAGTTTCAAAGACGGGAGGACAGTAAATATTGAAGACTCTGCCATAATCCCGTTTTCTCCGGTTTTCCTCCGCTTTAATCTACACAACCGGAAATGGACGAGCATCCTTACGTCAAATGCGGAACTTATGCGTGCATATAGCCCATTCGCATACTATCCGTTCTAAATAGTATTCGAAAATATAATTAGTACGTCCCAAATCGTAGTATGTTGAAATGAGTGTTCCAAAGAGACCCAGATGGTCCACTATATCCGGTCAGAATCCGAAGTGCAGATCGATGCACACTTTAACTGTACGTTCACACCGCCGCCGGCTTGAGCTTCCAAGGCGGCCGGAAGTCATTAATTTTCAATGGAAGCTGGCTTTCTCAGCTGCAAGGAGCGTCAAATCCATTGGCGTTGCGTATAGACGAATCCGGCGAAACTACCGGAAGTAAGCGGGGCGCCATTACTGAGCTGTTGCTGGGTAGCGTTGCGCCATTGCCTCCTATTGTTTTAGTTGCAACTTGCGTCCACTGGAATAAACAGCCCGCGATTTACGACTGTCACTAACGTTACAACGTTATCCCTTGTATAATGTCGAGTGGGTAAACAGTTTCCGTTATAAATTGTTTTAATGGTGGCAGTAAAATTTCGATTTTGAAGAGAAAACATTGTGAATACCCCGGGTCGAGCGTGCCCCTGTCTGGTGCCGTACGGTTTACAGATTTCCTGGGCGAGTACAAGACGTGGACATTCGCGTATAATAACAATTATTTAATGACATAAGTAAAAAAAATATAATAAATATGTCATATAGTGATCAGCAAAATCTCCTCTCTTGCTATTTTTTCTATTCAATTAACATGCTATGGTCATTAAATGGCTTTCCTGAGCTAAATGTAACGTTATGTGACATAATTGTTTTCCTGCTGTTATATTGACCTCTTTCCATGGTTTAAAAACACTAATTGGTCGATATTATGTATACTTTCTAGCTGTAACGTTACCTTACCCTTGCCTGTTGCAATATGAAAATGAGATAAATAATGGACACAAATGAAAAACATGAATTTGTTTATTTGATTTCATTCATTTATTTATTTATTGTTGCCAAATGGACAGATCTTTTTATAGTTTCCTCGTTAGCAAACGTTAGCCTAGCTAGCTTGCCAAGCTATTTTCATAAATAACATTAATCTGTAAGATCGTTTGTACCTTCATCTGTGACTGGAGGCCACTGCAGTCACAGATCAAACCAACAAGTCATTCTGCCTGGCTGTAGCTGTCATCGAGGGTGAGTTCGCGTTATCACCGAGGTTTGTTTACATACCGGTGCATATGTCTATATGCCTGTGTAACAGCTCAGTAATGGCGTCGCCACAAGATGGCAGCCTACACAAGAACGCTCGTCGGATTCGTCTATTGGGCGTTTTGAGCGTCAATCAGAAAGTTGAAAGAAGCTCAAATTTATGGTAATGAGCTGTGACGCGGTTCAGCGGCAAGCAGCGGCAAAATGCCAGCAACCAATCGTAATATAAACGTCCTTCGCGCTGGCTGATTCCGGAGATGCATACAATGTAAACTTTCGTTCCCAAGTACCTTTTGCCATCTTCTTCCAGTTCATTGTTTTCTCCTTTTCTGGTTTCCTGCAAATATGATACTTTCCCGTTCTCTCACATGTGTATCCATCTAGGCTCACCTGCATTTACCTGAAACTCCTCTGTTTAATAAAAAAACACCATTGATTTGATCTCTGTCTTAGATTACAATGTAATCGACTTCGCAAAAAGACAAACACTGCAACAATCTTATGTCATTGAGTAGGCTTCAATGGATAACTGAAACACAAGATGGCACAAGTTGTTTGTGTGAAATGAAAGCAAGTATGCGATGTGAAATGAAAGTAGTGTTTACTGTGCTCCCTAGTGCTCACTGAGCAGGGGATATCCGTTCAATTGACAAAATTAGATCATTTGGACCTTGCAACGACATCCATCATGGAGGAGTCACACAGATCATAGGTAGGGGTATATTAATAAACCACATTTGAAAGCCCTAAACTAAGTGATAAATGTATGTTGTGATGTTTAATATGTAAATGAACATAATTTGGCTATTAATTAGCTATGTATTTTTATTCAGCACATACAGTAGTCCTGAGTTTCAGTGCAACTGTGTCGCTTCACGCACACTAATCCACTATATGCAGCATACAGACCACATCAAAACGGCGGAACCTCAGCACATTTTCTCAGGGTTTATTTTAAGAATTGCAGTACTGAGGTGATGCGCTGAATAGTGGGTACGTTTACCTAGGGTTGATTAGTTGGTGTGGGAATCTTTTGGTACCTCGTCGTGATATGCGTGTAGATTTGATTGTGGTTTACTGTTTTCTTATTTGACTGCGGTAGAGTTTAATAGGTCTAGAAGAAAACAAAATACTCCTGAATTAAATGTGAACCTTGAAATTGATTTAGTTTTTCTTCCCATTGTAGTCATGCCCATGTCAATGCCCTTTAAGTCAATACCCAACAATCATTACACACTCTTCTGTATTAAAGCAAGCCAGGCCACATATATTAAAAATGAGAGCAAACAAGCAAATTACAAACAATAGGATAATAGAAAAAAATATGCAAATTAAATAGTTTGTAGGTAGCATTGGTTAACATGTCGACATAATGAAATGTTAAAATCAAACACTGTATAGTCTTCACTGTATGAATTAATATACATTATTCAAAAGCAGTGAGTTTTTTTTTTTGATGAGGCAGCTGTCCCTTTAAGAATGAATGCATGGATACAAGTTAGTCACTTATCCGATTTTCCCCCATTTGTTTTCGTTCGTAAACATTCTGTTTTCATACGATGTGCATTTTGACATAGTTGTGTGTGTTGCTGTGGAAGAGAACTGAATTCAAGATTGCATCCAAATGAGACGTGTGTGTTTGCTTCGGATGTGTGTCCGTCAGAGCGAGTCTGTGTTCGTGGTTTATTGTGATTAGCATCAATAACTGTAAGTAACTTTTTGTAGTACTGCGAAGTTAAAAAATCGATTTTTGAAATTTATGAATTGATGCAAATTGGTAGAATATCGAATCGAGATTCATACATGAATACATTTCCCCCCCGCACCCCTGATTAGAGCCCGTTGGTACATTCAATTACATGTTTATAAGTCCTTCTGAGAAATTCCTGTTAAAAGTTAGAATTTCTGACCGTGGTGTGATGGCGGGGACGCGGCTTTTTTTCCTTAATTTTCCTGCTTGTAAGGTTTTTTATGTTGTGGTGAGCGAATATTAATCAGACTCATGAGTGAAGATGAGGTTAAGATTATTTTATATTAACAATTCTGTTGGCCATGTAGGCTTATTCTTGCAATGGAACTCCATTCATCTACAGTAGGCCTGCATGCACCCACACTGTGGCGAGCTATGTGGGGGAAGGACCAAACCGAGAGATCATCACTAGTGTATTTTTCCGCTCATCGGATGGAGGTTTGTCTTCGGTTTCTCTCTAACATTTTAGCTCACTCATACACTTTCCCCATTGTAGGGGGTTGAGGTTTTTTGAGAGTGTGTGTGTGTGCACAAACGAGCAGAGGAAGTGAAAGTGTGAAATATAAAGGTTGTGTAAAGAGTAGTTTCAGTCATCGTCTACTGCACAGCTACGATGAGGTCGCTTGTCTATCTTCCTTTCTGCCTGGTGCTGTTTCTGCTCTGTCGTACTGCAGGTGAGTTTTAACTTTACCTATTTCGTTACCCAGTCATGATGCTGGGAAAAGTCACTGTGAACATTGAATCAAATCTATGGGAAACTTTTTGTGAAGTTTTGAGACGGTTTAATGTTTAAAACATATCTGCAATTTCTTTGTCTCACAGAAACAAGTCAGCGTTCTTCAAATTGCTGTTTGAAGACTTTCAACTGCAGAATAAATAAAGACAGAGTGGTGGATTATAGAGTGCAGAATGCAGGAGTTTGCGCTGTCAGTGCCATTGTGTAAGTGAACAGATTATCACTCTACATGACCTTAAGTTGCAGTTTTTGACTTGAAATTATCTAATTAAAAGTTTAAATCCAAAGTTTACAACTTCTGGATCTTACAGTGCTTTAAAACGTAATCTAGCACTCAAGTCATATTGAATTTAACATTTTGATCCCACCCCTTCTGTTTGTTTCTTATCTCTCTAGCTTGCGGATAAAACAAAGCAAAACAAAGTGTTGTAACCCAGACTCAAAGTGGACCAAAGATATTATGGAAGTGGTGGACCAGAAAAAAATGTCAAAACAAAACTCTGATCCAAAAGTCTCACCAAGCTAAAATAGAAGAAAACGTGGAAAGGGACGCAAACAGAAGAAAATAATTTAATTTTTCTTTTATTTTTCTTTTGTGTTCAATGTGTGGCAGCCAAATAATATAAATAAGTAACATTTATGACTGTTTTATGCTGAATGTTGACTCTTTTGAAAAGCTGAATGTATTTTTTATCATTCTCTCGACTCTCTCCTACTTATCAAGAATGTCTTTTTGGGTTCAATTTATTTTGATGGTCCCTTTGACACATTCAGTTAACGATAAGTTACATTGCACCTACATCTCTTTTAACTCTCACTAGAGTGTTAGTAGAGTATTAGTAGACTGGTTGGGTTAGGGATAGAATAAGTTGACGTGTGGTTGCAAAGTTACTTATAGTCAGTTGATTGTCTGTTTATTATCATAATAAAGAGATATCAGATATTAAGCAGACAGTCTACTAATACTTTAATGAGAGTTAGTTGACATGTAGTTGCAAAGTTAGTAAACAGGATGTTCAAAAGGGACCATCAAAATAAATTTCTTTTGTATTCATATTTTACCATATTTTTTTTTGTTTTCAGTATTTTATAATAGTAAAAAAAAACATACAATGTAATAAAATTAATGTATTGTGCATTTGAATATATATATATATATATATAAAGAAATTTAATAAAGTAAGAAAAAATATAAAAACTGATTTCTGTTTTCACTGTTTTTACTACATCCTTTTTTTTTGAACGGCAGAGAAAAAGTAAACTAACTAAATAAAAAAAAATACTTAAATGTATATTTATGATATTTCCAATTACATAAGTAATATAATATCGTATTATAATATCAAAGACTGAATGCTTTTGACCACACTGTTTCAGGACTGTTTCAAGAACACCTGACACTCTTTTTCAATAAGCAGGAATTGAATCTTCCGAAGAGAGATTCAAAAGAAGAAGCAGCAAAACTAAGTATCGGCATCTTTAAACACGAATACACAGAACAGAGTGTCCCTTCAGGCATTTACTTAATTGTCATGTTCATTATAAAACCTGGATTTTGAACTTACCTTTACATTGTTTTAACATTGAACACTAGGTGGGGATATATGACAGGAGATCCACCAAAAATCCCCCATAGCTGGAATCTTTTACATTATATATATATATATATATATATATATATATGTGTGTGTGTGTGTGTGTGTGTGTGTGTGTGTGTGTGTGTGTGTGTGTGTGTGTGTGTGTGTGTGTGTGTGTGTGTGTGTATATATATATATATATATATGAAGAGTTCAGATGCAAAAGCCTCTAAATGCCATTTGAAATTTTCTTCTTTAATGATGATAAATATACAAGCTTGATAAAAATGATCATTCTAGAAGAAAATTTCAAATGGCACTTAGAGGCTTTTGCATCTGAACTATTCATATATATATATATATATATATGTGTGTGTTTATATATATATATATATATATATATATATGTCTGTGTGTATATATATATATGTGTGTGTGTGTGTATATAAATATATCACAAATTAGAGTAGTTTGTACTTAGTTATTGTATGCCTGATTTGAAGTCTCACTTCTCCTGTGAGAAATGCCTTTTTATCAAATCAAAATCGAAGAAAATAAAGCATAGGCATGCTATAAAACTTAATTGGTACAATGACATAGCTCATGTTAATCTTATTAAGTGCTAAAAATAAATGCTTTTATGTAACATCCTCTTATGAGAAGACGTCTTTCTGGACAGGAAAATGAACGTGGTTTCTGCTTTTGGTTTGTGGTTAGTTTCTTTATGACTGTGACCACTTCTTAGTTTTACTCTCAACTCTATACCACTTTTTCTTTTATTTTATTTTTCTCTCCATCTGTATATGTCCTTTAGCTGTGTGAAATTGTGGGATTGTTATGGAAGTAGTGTGTGTAGGATGTGTGGATGTGAGTGAATGTAGGAGGAAGACAGGGTGAAATTAGACACCTGCTGCTTCGCTGTGCTCTCATCAGAGTGTGTGTAATTCGGTGGAAAACACACCTGGTCCCTAGCACAGGGGCAAAAGGCCACCACACTCGCAAGATTGGTCATAGACACTTTACCACAGGAAGAAAAATACACACATTGTCAAAAGATTTCCAACACCAAAGGCAAGACGTAACAGAAAGTCTTGTGATAAGACAATGCTCAAATGAAATGTAGAGCTTATGCATGGCTTTACATCATCCAACTATGATTGCAAAACTAATTTAAAATACCAAGATACCTAGTATTTATATATTTATTTATGAACATTTATTAGAGGATCAGCCCCATGAGATGAAACATCTCGTTTTCATGGGGGTCATCAGGATCATACATGGAATATGGTAATTTTACAGTACAATGATATTCACTACATACCATTTCCAGTTTATATATAAATACACTGGACACTTTTTAGGTACACCAGGTTGGACCCCCTTTTGACTTCAGAACTGCTTTAATTTTTCATGCCATAGATTCAGCAAGGTGCTGACATCATTCCTCAGAGGTTTCAACGATTACGCATTTGCTGCAGATTTTTTCGGCTGCACGTGATGCGAATCCCCCATTACACTACTTTCCAAAGCTGCTCTACTGGATTGAGGTCTGGTGACTGTGGACGTCATTTGAGTTTAGTCAACTCGCTGACACGATTTGTGACAATAGCGCATTATCCTGCTGGAAGTAGCCATCAGAAGATTGTAAACTGTGTTCATATAAAGAGACGCATGGTCAGCAACAATACTCAGGTATAGGCTGTGGCATTTAAAAGATGCTCAAATGGTACTGAGGGGCCCAAAATGTGCCAAGAAAATACCCTCCACACCATTACACCACCACCAGCCTGAACCATTGGTGGCAGGATGGATCCATGCTTTCATGTTGTTTACACCAAATTGTCCCCTACCATCTGAATGTTGCAGCAGACATTGCACTCAACAGACCAGGCAACAGTTCCCAATCTTCCATTGTTCAATTTTGGTGTGTAGCCTCAGTTTCCTGTTCTTATCTGACAGGAGTGGCTCCTGCGTGTCTTCTGCTGCTGGCTTATCTGCTTCAAGGTCAGCGATGATTTACTTGAGAAAAATCGATTTTAATGATATTTTATATCATATTATTAAAATCCATTATAATAATAATTCAAATAAAAACAAATAAAAACATATTTACCCCCCCCCCACCCCCCCACCCCCCCGAATTCCTATACTGACTAAGTTTTTTTTTTGCATTGCATTACACCAGACGGACACAGGCTGACCTTATCCCTTCTGACATCTCGGGCTCTGGAGAGACAGTATTATCATTGCTGGTTAGGAATATCGACTATGTACTGTAGATCGATACAGAGACCTTTCACATAGACCACAGTTATAATACAGCACAGATGAGGCCGCTCCATCATTTTCTCTCAGGTCACTCATGGAGAACTCTGAGACTTAGAGGCATCTGCGCTCTGTTCATCCATGTCTCACAAACATCCTGGAGCGAACATTGGCCTTCATCAGACATCTTTAATAAAACATGTACAGTACGTTCCAAGTCTGATGTCGGGATCTGATCCAAAACGGCAAAAGTTGTGACAAATTCACACCTTCAGTCTCATCGACTAAAACGTTTTGGTGTGATTGCTGTACCAACTTTCCTTTCCTTTCCTTTCTTTCTTTCTTTTTCTTGAGTCCTTTTCACAATACTGCTGTTTAGAGGCTGCACCGAACAGATAGGAGACTGGAGACTTTGCTTAAGGGATTTTCTGTGTTTTAAATAGAAAGGTTAACTGGGGTCATGGCATACCAGTGACATTTTGGGGTAGAAAGCCCAGCTGTGTGCTTCTGATTAGGAAACAGTCTATATGTTGAGGATTTGCGCTTCTGTCAAGGGACCCCGTGTGTTTAGGAAGAGATGGTGTTAATAAAGTCAACAAACGGCCAAAAACAGTGTCATCCCAAGAGAGGGAAGGAAAGAGAAGTCAAATAATCTTGTGTGTCAAAGATAAGAGTTAATTTAGGCAGAGACAACAAAAGCTGTGTGCATGGAAAAGAAATATCTCCCATGCAAGGCAATTTATCTAATCCTATAGCCACAGCAATAAAAATGTGATGTTCACAATCCAGGCGTATGCATTCTTAAAAATATCCCTCGTTCTCTTGAGTATTTTGAATCAGTGTAGTCCAGAAGCCTGAAGTTGCATAACTCTAAAGGAAAACCCTGCATCTTGACCTACTTAAAGAGACGGTAAGAATCGGCTGTAGCCTGTTTAATGTCGCCTCGCTCTGCAGTTGAACGCATGCGGGAAGCCTTATCACTAAATATTGATTAAATTAGGCAGAGCAGCTGTTTGATAATGAGATCTGAAATAATTACAAAGACTAATCTGCACCGAAGCATTGCGGATTGATCCGATTCTGTGCCTTGAAATGGAGAGAAGCGGGACTCTTTGTCGGTGCCTCTTTGACAGGGACGATGGAAGCAGAAACCCAACAAACCCGAGTGATGTGCAACATCACAGAGCTGGCGCTGAAAAAACATTCTCTCTTGGTTATTATGTAACCATGCCAGAGGGATGGGAGTCTTTTTCTCTCCTCTGTGATCTAAAAGAGACATCCAGTGCCCTCAAAAGTGTTGCAGAAGAAGACATATTCCGAGACAAAATAAACAACTCTGATAATGTTTTGTTCTTCCAGGGATGTGTTGTGTCTGAGGAACAGAGAAAAAGTGATTGAAAAGGTTTATATATATTATACACAAAAATGAACCACAAAAATGAAGCTCTGGACAATGTTCTGCTGGGGAACCCTGGGTCATGTGGATGTAAATTTGACACGTGACACTTCATGACAATGGGATTCCGAAGTGGATTCCACATCTTCCACACATTGTTCAGGAATGATTTGAGAAAAATGATGAAGACTTCAAGGTATTACCCTGGCATCCAAATTCCCCGGATCGCAAACCAATTGAGCATCTTTAGAATGTGCTGGACCAACAAGTATGATGAACAGCGGCTCCACCTCGCAACCTTCAGGACTTGAAAGATCTGCTGCCAACGTATTGGTGCCGGATAATGCAAAACGGTTTTGGCAGCTAGCAGAGGACCAACATAAATATTAACAATATGTATATTTAAATATGTTTATACTCAAAATCATTTGTATGACAGTCAGA